AGTTTTTCAACCTCCCACAAAATTTGCTAAAACCTACATAGTAGATTTCGAACTGACAACGACGATATGCAACAATAACCTGCAACAAAGTAAACTACTCCCTTAAAACTTTTATAACAAAACATATTATTCATTTTAAATCCCCTAATTAACGTAATAATGACGTCGCTATACATAAAAAAAAACAATTCCTAAAAATCTACAAATTAACAAATCAATCAATCTATATATCTATCTAGGTTGCCTGCCAATCATTGCATTATACGTTAAAAACATTCTCCTAAAAAGTTTACAATCTAGTCAAATTATTACAATATTCGTTGATAAATCTCTTCAATCTTCTAATCTGGTCAGAAAATATTCCCTTCTTCCAAAAAACTGCATATCCTTCTTATCCTACTTCTCCTCCTCCTCCATATCCTACATCTCCTCCTCCATATCCTACATCTTCTCCTTCTTTTTTTTTTTTTCTTCTTCTTCATGTATAACTGATTTAATCCTCTAATTCCCCTGTCTCTTCTCCATTACATCTGCAACAAATTAATTCAACTTTAAATTACCTTTGCGACAACCAGCAAGTTTTTGACAATTTGTACAAACAAGTAGTATATACTATACTCTAAAAGATGCACATTACACCTAATGAAGCCGAAATGCTATAGAGCAACCCATCTATCCGTCCAATTAAGGAGAATGCACAATAGACCTAGTGAAGCTTAAGTACAGCATAGCTGATTCCAAAAATAATAATCCACCAGTAATTAAATGTGTGAAATTTGCGATCGACGAAATTTTCTTCAAAATATGTTCGAAAAATTTAGATCAAATCACATTTGTTCGAAAATACATTTGTTCAAATGCGAAGGTATTCAAAAAACGTATTCGAAAATACTTATAGTTATGTTCAAAGATAGTTTTCTTGGAAAAATATTATTTCGAACAATACCTGGAAAAAGCATTTTTTTGGTTGAATGTAAATGTAAAATATCTTAAAGAAAATAGAAATATTTTTCCTAATATTCCAATTAAAATTAAAAAAAATTCAACTTATTTACCTAACCTTTGCTGTCCGGAGTCATCACAGGAAACAAAATATTCATAAAATCCATCCATCCATATACAAATTACCAATAATGGGCTTAGTAAGGTCTAAGTGCTGTATAGTTAAATCTAAAAATAATAGTCCAGCAGTAATTGAAAGCATAATAATCTATTTTAAACATTTCTTCATTATTCAGCATATTTTATGTATGATCTAAGACATTCTTCAAAGAATATTGCATAATGCAGTTATATCAGCATTCCACAAACATACTTATTGATATATCGACTTTCAATTACTGTCTATTATTTCCAAGGATGCACAATGGAAATAGTGAGGCCTAAGTGCTGTAGAACAACCAACCAACTTAATAAATCACCAATTCAAGAAGATGCACAATTAATATATTAAGCCCTAGGTGATGTAGAGCAACCAACCTACTGAGGCTTAAGTGCCACGTAAAGCAACTAATTCAAACACCTGTCGTCGTCGTCGTCTACCCATCAACCACCCTCGGACAAAATTATAAATTTAGGAGGATGCACAATGAACCCGGTGAGGTCATAAGTGTCATATTATACATCCACCAACCGACGGAAAAATCACCAATTTAAAAAGGTGCAAAATGAATATCGTGAGACCTAAGTTCTGTAGAGCCGTCACCCAACCTCCCATTCATCCGTTTACCTAAAAACAAATAAATTCACAAATTCATGAGAATGCGCAATGAAATTAGCGAGGCCTAATGCAATAGAGAAAATAACCAAACCTCCCGTCTACCTCAAAATCATCAATTCATAATGCACAACGGACCTAAAGAAACCCATCTACCTACCTAATCAGCCAACCGAACAAAAAATTATCCTTTTCCTCCTCGGCAATCCCATTGACTAAATACTAATTTCATTCTCTCCTCCCAATTAATCACAATTCAAAACAAAAGACACACTCATTCACTCACTCGCTCTAAATTAATTCTACTTAAATAAATATTATACCTATTAAATAGCAATTGTCCATTATTCATTGTCCTATGTCCCTTCTTCATCCGTAGACAAATATATTATGATCCATCCTCCTGTTCCCACTATTCATCCTGCTGCGGCTGGTCTTCTTATCTTCAGTCAATTCCTAAAAAAAACAAAAAATATTTATTTAATACAAATTTACCAATAAAAAAATAACCGATTTATCCAAATCATCATAATTTTTTGCAAAACGCTCCTTTACGGCTTATAATCTCTCTTATGTTATCTACCGATTCATATTACTTATTGCTAGTTTAACCGTATCCCGATAGTTAATCTAGTAATGAATCGTAATAGATATACATAAGAGTTGAAAGATTATCAAAGGAACGTTTTAGGAGTTCATATTGCGCGCAACTGGACTTTCACTACCCAGACAGACCTGCTTTAAGACGTAATGGCCACTCCGAATTAATCAGGTATTTCTATCTAGCTCTAGTATAAAGCCAACCCCAATGGTCTGTCAAATCACTATCGTATTAGTATGAAACTCAACTAAGCACTCGTCTGCGGACTGTAAGGATTAACCGTGCTTGTTGTTAACCAGGACTACATAATATATTAAACTATAAGTACATAAGCACAAATATAAATATAAAAACACTTCTGTTCCGCATCAAAATAAACTTAATCCCTAAATTAAACCTAATAACTCCCAAAAATACTATTATAAACATTTAATTAACAATTATTTAACTAATAAACAAAACTCATAATACCATACAATAAGAAACACTCCTCGTACATATAAATCTACGAAACGCCTACATCATGTCAAACGTCAAACGTACGTATTCAATTATTCAGCACAATTTACCAAACACGTATTTTTCTTCAATCAATTTCATTGTTGAAATCGCTGTATAATGGCTTGAATATATATTTTTTCTTTTGTAAAGTATTGATTACAGTTATTCGCAAATATTATTTTTTCATGGCAAGCGTTTTATTAAGTATAATTCCTATTTTGAGGTTATGTTATTGTTTTGTTTTTATACCATCATCATTTTTAGATTATAGCTTTGTCCCAACATCTCACAAAACCGTAATATTACGGTCATCGTCATGCGCAGTGAATAAAAACCGTTCGACTTTGGGCTTTATTGATAGGTTTTTATTTACTGCGCATGACGATGACCCCCAGCTAGCACATAACGTTGCCAAGCCTTTCGGCGATGTTGCATTAAGGGAACGTAATAACATTACTGTACAACGTAAATGCAACGTTCATGAGAAGTTGTTGAGGGAAATCAAAACCTCGCAAAACTTCTATTTGTTATTTACCTAGTTAACCTACCGTAAACATTACAAATCTGAATTCAGAACGTTTAGTTTTATGTCAATTGTCACTTGTCAGTTTTTCTTGTCAATTGTCTTTTTTAATGGTTTATTTTTTCGACATCCAGAATTTATTTTATAAATAATTATTATTTATACATTCGAATAGATTTGGTAAGGGTCCTCTATAAAATAGATAACTATTTTCTAAACCATTGTCTTTGTTTCAGATTACAATGCCTGATGTAAATTTATTATTTCATTCATTAAGTATCTTTAGCAGTCGATGCCGATGACACCAAATAAAAAAAAACTACAATAAAAACAAAAAATTGCAGATCAATCGTTGTAAACCAGAAGATAAACATTTAACCGAATGTCCGGCAACATTTTACACCAAATACTTATAAAAGGTAATTATACTTTATCGAACTAAAAATACATTTTAAAAATATTATTTTTTAAGTTTCCTTCGACATATCTAGGAATTTTAGAAGCAAAAGTAAATACTACAGAAGTGTAAAGAAGAATATAACTCCTGAAGTTTTATAAAAAGTGAATCTATAGGTACATGATATGTCAGGTATATCAGAATTCAAGCAGTTCATTCTCTTCAACAAGCTAGATTGCCTGGAAATGCAACCATCAGTCAAGTGAAAACCCAGCAGAAAAGTTGAGAGAAATCATAGATGATACTCTCGAGTATAATAGAATATCTTGCTAAAAAACACCAGTTGTTTTTTATAAAATCTACATATTGATGGCTCAATCAAATTACTGCCACAACTAAAATACTATTATTTCGAGAAATTTCATTTTGAAATTTTGTAAGTCTCTATTATCAATATTTTGTTTTTGACATACTCTTTATATTTTATTTAAAAGCTTCGATATTTTGCTGTTAAATAAAATGAATATGATTATAAAAGTGAGTTGTTGCATAGTTGTAAAAAATTTGGGTGTTTTTGAAGAAAATAACTCGAATTGATGCAGTTTTAGACACAGTTTGTGGCTACATTTTAAATGATTTATCTTTAAGGATATTTTTGTTTGTGGTGGTATTTAAAGTAAAACCGTAATGATATTTTGCATCCATTGAACCAAAAATGTAATTGCTTTGTTTTTTGACTTGTGGCGGTTTTTGATTGAGCCATCGATATATCTACTTTGGAAATCAAGCATAAAATTTGTAAAATTCAAACAAATTTCAATACACTTGTTTTATTTAAAACAACAAAGTAAGGCATATTTTTTTAATTTCTATATAATTTCCTTTAATTATAATAGGTAAACAAGTTATCAATTTCTTTTTTATTCAATGTATTGAGAAGTAAAATCTTTTTATATAAAAATATAATTTATGCTTTTCTAATAAATTGTCATATTTAGGTTACATTATAGCACTTTATAAATATCTATGCAAAAAAAAGTTAAAAGGCTTGATTTAAAAAAGATATATCTCTGCGTCTTAGGTAAGAAATCAGCAAACTTAGCTATCCTCTAGTAATCTAATATAATAATATGTACCTAGTCATTGTTGTATTCGTTTATTATTTTTCACCAATCTAGCTTTATCATCGTTCACCATTTAAGGTTTTAGTGAACCTTTGCAATATTGGTACCTTATTATACTATTTAGCTAATTTTGTCCAATCATTCAGTGCTTTCTAGGTAGCTTCTTCTATCCCACATGTGTACTTGTGTTTGTGATATAAGGTGTGTTCTTTTATTCAATAATTGTTCCATCAGTGATTGATGTAATTTATCTATTCTGCAGTCATTTTATATTTGAACGCTTATATTTTAGGTTAACTTAAATGATTGATTATCCTCACCATTCGTCTATCACATATCCATCGGCTTTTAAAGCCGATGGATGCCTTGGCTCATTGGTGAATTCACCGCTGGAAAAAAGAATGATTGACACATACAATCGTCTTTCCATCACTTAATTTACGAACGGTTTGCTGCAAGCGCTGGATACAGCACTGAATAAAAGAACACACCTACACCTACCTCTACTTTTGTGCTATTGGTACTTGATTTCAAGAACATTTTAATAATAAATTTATATAAATATTTTGTTTTATTTGAAATTTTCATGTCTCGATTGAGATTTTACTATAGCCTCAATTTCAGCCTCTCTGTATTACATTACACAATGTGTGTCCACGGATGGACTTAATTATACTTGTAAAAATATTTATTTTAAATTAAAGAAAAAGTTGTTTTTCATAATTTCTCAATGTGAATCGAATTTATTTAACAAGCAAGAAATTATGAAGAATTACTTTTTTAATTTAAAATAAATATTTTCACAAGTATAGTTAAGCCCATCCGTGGACACACTGTATAATGCTGTAGATCTAATTCACATTATAACATCAATAGAACGTTTCAGAGCAACTTTCGGGGTAAGTACCGTAAAAGTGCTAGTGTGATGTTTTTCGAACTTCACTTTGTAACTTCTGTGAGATGTGCTATAAAAGTCTTGCCGCTGCGGACATTCGGTAGTTGCAGGGATATAAGGGTTACATTTACAGTACATTGCATGCGAGCTTAAAGAGCCTAAAATTGCAGCTTATTAACGTAGATGGGATGTTTTTGTGCTAGCTGGGCCGTAATATTACGGTTTTGTGAGATGTTGGGACAAAGCTTATACCTCTCGTAAAATGCCATCAAAATTTGTCTGTCTGCTGGCAGTAATAACTTTTTTTGGAAACAACAACAACAACAACAAAATGATTAGAAATGGTGAAAATCCATCATGTTAAAAATGCAGCTTGTTGAGAGACATCATTGAGGTAAAGTACCTATTTAGTTGGTTTTATCATTTTGATTCATAGTCTAGTTTAAGTTTATGAAAAAACTGAGCATACCTACTTGTAGGTATAACTGTAAACAAAAAAATCTTAGTTCCATATCTTGTGCAAATTAATAATAACAATTAATTTTTTTAAATAAAAATATTGCACAATTGTCTCAAATCATAGCTCAGAGATGCTAGTTTTACGGTTTTGCCAAGTTGCACAAAAAAAACTTAGGTAGGTACTATCCAATAATCATTTATTATCAAAAGTAAGGCAATTTATTTCTAATTCTAACAATATTTTAAGATTTACAGTGTTTTTTTACCCATCTAGAACCCTATTAACTTCCATTCCCGTAAAAATTTTATTAATTGAAGAAAACTGCATATTTTTATTTAAAAAAATATTTGTGTCATTAATGTATACCAAGATGATATAGAACTTAGGTTTTTTGTTTTCAATAGCAAATACCTACAAGTAAGTTTAATTAGTTTTCCATAATTGAAAAGAGCTCAATCTAGACATTTACCTACTTCATTTTGACACTTTAAAGTAAAAAATATTACTTATTTTTCAGATTTTACTAGAAAAAAACGTGCAAATATAAATTAAGCGTCTCATCTTTATTTCGAAGGATTCATGGATTAACAGTATGGATTTTATGTTAAGTATCAAATCATGAGAATACCAGGTTGGATATTTTCTAGATTTAGTTGACTTTAATGGAACACACAGAACAATAACAGTTTGGATAATCTCATTCTATGTATGTATAGCATTGAATAAAGTATAATGTTTAGTTATAATATGTAATCCTATTATTCTATGCCCAAATTATATCTCCCGAAATCATACGAAACTATCGAAGGAGTATTAAGTTGTGAAGGTATTTTGTCAATAAAGCCCTGAAAGAAAGATGTCATTTTAGAAAACTTTTGTCAATATTAAGTTTCCACTTTACAGTATGTCATTGCCAATAAATTATTTGTGTGCAATACAAATAAATTAATAAAAACACTAAAAATTAAATTTTAAAATATAATAAACAAAATAGAGTAATCTCTTTGAAAGATAAGATCATCAAAATGAAAATATAACTAAAATAAGTGAATTTTATTTACTCTCAGCATGACAAAATATTGTATATTGTTAAGAGTGAGATTATGGGTCCTTTTGACTGGCCCTAAAGTCCACTCTTAGCGGTAACCACGGGTTATATATAGGGGCCCAATTCGTATTTAAATTGGCCTCTAGATAACACACGGCTAGGGGGTTAAGTTCAGACGGGAAGACCTAAGGAACCCTAACTTGAAAGATTGAAACAACAAGCGTAAAACAAATAACTATGGTTTATTTAACAAATATATAAATATAGCACTTCAATAATCTTTGCTAACTACACAATTAAATATTACTCCTTAAAAGTATCTACTTACATTAACATTGTTATCCGTTGGGCAGCAGGACTGGCTAAAGGCACACGTTACTTTTTCCACTACGTGGTTTTACACAAAATAAAACTAACCGCGATTTCGCGTGACCGACCCGAAATTTACTTAGTGCCAAAAACTGGACACGACCGATCGCCAACAAAAACCCAAAGGAACTCCCAGAAAAATTCACTTGTAATTTTCCAAGAATGCTCGTGTTGATCTTTCTTGACCCTGTACTTTAATATTATGATTTAATAAAACCTTGTCCAACTACACGTTTTGTTATTTTATTGCAAATGTATTTAATGTGCATGCTCTTGGACAAAATTTACAAATCATAACATACCTATTCACAGGGTGTTCTATTTATTCGTAACATGTGCCTCCGCCCCGGAAAAGGGTCGCCCTCGACCCTTGACCTACCTATCGACTAATCCTACCCTACTATGTACTACCTGAAAAGTTTATTATACAATACAAAAATTTTACATAATTTTTCTTAAAACAATTGTTCATTCCGTCCTTTGACACTGGGATAGTCCGACTCTGCACTTCACAAGACTTCCAACTTGATTGGCCTTCGCTCCGAGTGTCATGTGGCATCGAGAGACAGGATGTGATGTCATGCGGGCCTGCTGCATGTATCGCAACTCAAGATAAGGAAAGAATAAGACTGTGATTTTCACCGGTTGACCATGGTTAACCCATCGTACGTGGAAATATGTGAGGTATAACTTCCCATTATCAGCTGGCTTACATCGTGAATT